TTGAAGGCCATCATTGACTAGCACAATCTCACCTCTGTCATCGTCATGGCCCTGTAACTTTCTCGCCGTTTTTGTGCTTACACCGAAAGCCTCAGCCAGTGTCTCAATGTCAAAGCCACTGAAAATGTTGTTTGTTGATTTCTGCTGGCTGGTGTTTTCTTGTTGATTCTCTTGGTTTCCGGCGAGTTGAAATTTCTACAATGTCAAGGACATACAAGAAAGAAGAACAGTAATTGCTCAGTGTTAATGGACATGGAATAGACAACAATCGGTTTGAGTTGAATTCATGTATGTAAGATCTAACTGTCTTACTCTGAGATTCTGATCGAGCTGGTTGGCATTGTTGCTAGTGTCGATGACAGTTACAGCAATGACCGGTGTATCACCATCGTTGTAACACCAATGGGCTACCCCAGCCGGATAGGCTATGACATCACCCTGGTGGAAGTTTCGGATCTTCTGATGAAAATCTTCATACCTCCGACTTCCTCCATTTCCTTCTGATTGTTGGGATTGTTGGAATGATTGGTATGTTTCAGGGCAACCGGGGAAGACAACTCCGGTAAAACCTCTACCTGTAAATCCATCAAAATGAATGAATGAATGATCAATCAAAATGGACTGATGATTAAAGATAGAACTTTTAATTAGTAGCAAGGTAGAGAAGGTAATTTAATTTGAAGGGCGAACCTTGGACGATGTAGGTGAGCTTAGGAGCATTGGTGTATGAAGGCAAGAGGAGGCCTTTGGGTTCGATGACATGACGAATCACGGCAACGCCAGCGCATTTCAACTGTTGGTTGTTCTCTTCCCAGTACTCGGTGACCCCGCCTTCCGACTCAATCCGTGTATTGGGTTCGAGAGCCGAGAGGTCCTGAACTTGACACTCTCTTTGCCCTCGGAACCGGCGTTGCTGTTGATGTTGCTGCCTTTGCCATGATTGCTGCTGAGAGTGCCTATAGGCTACACAAACATGACACAACACAAGAAAGCAGAGGGAGAGGAAAAGCAAAGCAGACTTGACCATGGTGAAGAGACCCTGTAGTACTAGCTACTACTATTATCTAGTTTGGTGTATGCAGCGACTTTGATGGTTTGTATTTATAAGAGAGATGGACGAACAAGTGTTTGACACATCTTTTTTATTGTTGGTAAGAGAAGAGATAGCTTGTAGACATTCTTCATGGTGCATGGCTGCCAGCCCCTAGTACTTGCCGCGTAACTATTTTAGCAAGGGCGGGTGGCCACAAACTTAGACCGCTCTTGACTCTTGACAGAAGAGGACAAACTCAGACTCTCGCTGTGCAATGAGCGAAAGACAGTTTACCGGTGGAAAACAATACCATTACAGCATTCCATTTGGTCTCATATGATCAACGTATATAATTAGCTTGTGCTTTCGATTTGGGGTTTTCCTTCAATTGCTCAATAGGCTTTTAAAGGAGGCAAAATCCTCAAGGAGGCTGCTTTGTCTTATAAGATCTGGAGTTGAAGCTTAGTGTAGTATTTTCATAATGAGAGAGCTTTCTTTGAAGGTTTGAAGAAGCTTTCAAAAGTGGCAAAATCATCTTTGAAGGTTTGAAGATGCGAAAAGCAGCGGCTGTGTAAGAGATTCCTCTTTCTMTTTTTGGTGGAAGTGAGAGATATGAACGAGAGAGAGAGTAAAGCTTTCACCAACCTTAGCTAAATCTAATAAATATTGACCCATGGACCATTACTCAACCCGACCCTAACCCTAACCGTTTTCCATTAACCCTAATGGATCCCTTGACCCATATTGACCTACTACAATGATAGGTGGGTTGGTCACACCATTACAGAATTCCATTTATTCTCATATTAAACATGAAATTAGTGGGGACCCGTGCGATGCAAGAGATTTATTAAGCGAAAGCTAAATAGTAGAAATGGCAATTTACAAAAACACCCCTTATAGTTTCATGGATCTACTAAAATCTATCATAGAGTTTGTATTTTACTAAAACACCACTTATAATTTGCAATGGATTTAATCTTTCTTCCATTATATCATAGTGGAAAATGACAGTGTCGACCCTAATGCTCGTTTAAATAAATTTAATCAAACGAAAATAAAAATACCATTTTTGCCCCTAATAAGACATGGGGAACCATTCTATTGGCTATATTTGGTCAATTTTGTTTTCTGTATAAAAAAGTGTTAAGGGTATTTTTAGAATAAAAAATAATGGGCCTAATGTCAAAACAAACACTCCTTAATGAAATGTTGATTAAGTAAATAAGTTGTAAAATATATGGGATATTTTAGTAAAATGAAAACTATAAAATAGGTTTACATAAATATGTAAAACTATAAGGTGTGTTCTAGAAAATGACCCTAATAGAAACACATAAGAGTATATAATTGTTTTATATTTTCAACTTTTTAAATAATTAATAAGTACTCATATTTTGTATACTGCTTTTAATAATTTCTTTATAATACAAAAATAACAATAATTAATTTATTTAGGTTTATTCATCAAACTAATGAAACCGACCAACCCAATCAACTCAACCCGGGTTGRTTGGTTTGCTAGTATCTTACGTCGGCTTGGGTTCAAAAACTTTCCAACTCGACCAAGTTGGATCAGTTTTGCTTTGGCCATTTGTAAGTTGACCAAAATTGGATGATATGACCATTGATATATATTAATGTTTTATATTCTAAATATAATTTTTAATATGGAAAAGTGGGAAATTCCCCATATTTCTTAGCCTAAAATATTTTATATCGTAAATTTAATTTTTAAATTTATTTTTTAACAATTGCACTATAATTTTTAAAATTTAAATTTAATTTTTAAGTTGAAATCTTTTGAATCCACTAACCAAACAAAAAAAATGACCCAAACCAATACAACTTGAGTGGATCGGTTTTCACAAATGGTCAATCGGTTTCAGTTGACTAACTCCCCAACCTTACAAGGTCAATTTGGTTGACCAAACATCATATAATTGAACTGAACTAACTCATGAACACTTATAAATTTAGCTAAATTAATAGTCTCATCTCTGATAAATAACAATAGTTTAAACTCCAATAATTATTGAAAGCTTATAACAGAAATACGCAATTATTGATAATGAAAAAAATACAATAAATAATAAAAGTATATTAAATTAGTCAATAAATAGTATAATCTCATTTAATAGTTTAATTTATAATAAATATTTATCAATAAGTTATAACAAAAATACAATAAGCACAATAAACATAATTTAAAAATTACAATAATAGTAGTTTAATCTCCAATAATTATAGAAAGTTTTCTGTTAAATAACAAAACAAAAATAAGTCTATACATAATTATTGAAAATACATTTATCACAAAAAATGATAAATAAGTATTGAAATACAATATATATTAATATTAGTATATATAATTATATAATAAATATATATTAAAAGTTTAAAAATATTATTAATAAATATTAATTTTTATGAAAGTTATTTTCTCGAATTATTTAATGATATAAGTGAAATTAGTTATTACAATATTATGTAAAAATATTAAATTATTATTAATTTCAATATTATGTTATAATTATTTTTCTATTTTTCAGATTTGTTTTAAAATTTCTTACATAACTTCTTTATTTTAACTAATTTAAAATCTAGCTTTGTTAAATATTTTGTTACTTAAAATATTTAGTTATTTAAACACTTAAATAACATGTAAAATATTTAAATTCTAAAATATTAATTATTTATTGAATTTAATACTCCATAAAATTATAATTTATACTATTATTACATAATTTCATTATTAATTATGTAAGATATTGAATTATTATTAATTTCAATATTATGTTATAATTATTTTTCTACTTGTAATAAATAAATTTTCTATGTCCTGCTAACACTAGGGCAAAGGCTAGTTTTTCTATGTCCGGGTACCTCGTCTTGGCAGCGTACAGGACTTTACTTACATAATAAACATGGTGTTGTACTTTTCCTACTTCTCTAACTAGGACCAAGCTAACTACCTCATCGCTCGCGGAGAGGTAGAGCTTAAGCTCGTCCCCGGTCTTAGGTCTAGTTAGCAAGGGTGGTGAACTTAGGTATCTCTTCAACTCATCAAAAGCGAGCAGACACTATTTGGTCCATTCAAAATCCTGGTTCTTTTTTATTGCTTTAAAAAACGGTAAAACACTTGCTAGCCGGTTTAGACAAAAATTGGTTCAGGGCGGCTATTCGGCCAATCAACTTTTGGACTTCTTTAACCGAGCTAGGAGGTCGCATGTCTGGTATATTGCCTGGATTTTTTTGGGTTTGCTTCGATGCCACGTTGGCTAACAATGTATCCGAGGAACTTACCCGATGTCACAACAAAGACACACTTGTTCGAGTTGAGTTTTAAGTTGTATTTTCTAAAACATTAAAAATGGGGTCCAAGTCGGCAATCAAATCATTTGAAAATTRAGTCTTAACAACCATATTATCTACATTTAACTTTATATCCGATTAAATCTGAAAAAGCATTGTTTACAAGTTGTTGGAATGTTGCTCCACCATTTTAATCTGAAGGGCATGACTTTATAATAGTACAAGCCCATCTCAGTTACAAAAACAGTTTTTTCTTCATCAGTCGGGTCCATTGAAATCTGGTTGTAGCCGGAGTAAGCAGAGGGTTGTAGCACAGTACTCCAATACGAAGTCTGAGTTTAATTAGATGTCTCTCCAATACGGAGTCTGTGTTTAGATGTCTCGCTAGTGCAACTACTGAACTCATTTGTATAGAACCTTTGTTTTGTTGTCAGCTTGGTTTTGACTCTCCCTCACCTCCCACTCTTTATTTTGACAATGTGGATGCAACCTATTTTGCAACGAACCCTCTGTCTCATTCATGGACAAAGCACTCCATTCATGGATGAAGCACATGGAAATTGGCATTGACATTCAGTTCTTACATCTTCATGTCACTCAGAAGTGACTTTTGGTTCACCAAATCTCCTCCCAAGATCAAGTTGTTGATGCTCTCACAAAGGCTATATTAGGACCTAGATTGTCTTCACTTAAGGTCAAGCTCAATGTCACTACATTACCATGCATTGAGCATGAGGAGGCATTTTAAGGAAAACCCACCTCTAAAAGGACCCAAGAAAGATATCTCGATCAAGAAAACCAGATAAACAAATTTTATCATGATTATAGTGTTAAGTGATTTGTGATTAGTGATAAGTTGGGGGTGATCCCACTGCAACCGATACCCTCACTGAAGTCGACTAGGGGTACATCGGCTGGCTGTAGGTCATTTCTGCCGAGCTCCATGCACTTGAAGGCTTCTAGGAAGATGATGTTGGCCGAGCTCCTAGAGTCAACCAGGATCCTTTTTACTTCAAAATCATTGATTAACAACTTTACTRCCAAGGCGCCGTCATGTGGATATTGTATTCCGCAAGTGTCATCTTCTGTAAAGTAGATGACTTCCTCTCTGTAGGAATGCTTTGGCGGGTTGTCGCTGTCATGGTGGAAAAAATTCTACTCTTCAAGGGAGAAATTATTATTGCAAAGGAATCATCAGTAAATTTCATTTTGACACAAAAATCTATAGTGTAGAAATCAGTTCAGGAAAGGAAAAAATAAAAAGGGATAAGTAGACTRTACTCCCCCTTAAGAAAGTACTCTTAATCTAAATCTATTGGTGCAAGTATTGCACTACAGTAGTAGTTGAACTCTTTCATTTATAATTAATCATTATGCATGCATTTATCTAGATATTTCTTTGAACAGCTTTGATAATAAGACATGCATTATTAAGTATGTGTTTGATATAGCTTTCATTTATTAAATAAATGGTTGTATTTGAATAAACGCTTAACCGTTGGGGGGAAGCGTTAAAGTGAAGTTTCTCCCCAATGTTTGGTGTGCACATAAATTAAAACTCACTTTTGTGAATATTAATGTGTAAGAATGAATAAGATAAGGAAAATGCAGATTTGGCAATGACATGGCAATGTTTTGATAAACGTCTATCACGAAATGCCCATAGAATAAAACACACGCTAAATATGATGGGAGATCCATCATATGGATGGATGAAC